CCCATTGTCATATATAACAAATACATTTACATACATATATGTCTATATTTAGACCTCTATAAATGTCCTTTGCTTCCTAGTTCCTTCCTCTATTTCCTTTTACTTTCCTCTTGTCCCACTGTCATGTTCAGCCTTTATTTGGGTTTCAGAAATTCCTCTTGGTTACATTACTCTTGATCAAGCCCTACCAGGCCTTCTACACCCTCCTCACCATCGATTTTGGATCACTGGTTGTTCCCTTGTCCCTGGATTTAGTGTGTAATCTTTACAGAGCACATTCTTAGGTTATTATCTCGTGGAGTGGTTGAGTGAGTTTGAACTGCCCACTTTTGATTAGCAGCCATTCACTTAACTATTTGTCATCAAAAACAAAACCACCACAACAAAAAAACCTCCAAACTCACTGTCATTGAGTAAATTCTACCCATGGTGACACTAAAGGGCAGGACAGAACTTCCCCTGTGGGTTTCTAAGACTGTAACTCTTTACAGGAATAGGAAGCCTCATCTTTCGGTTGCAGGGATGCTGGTGATTTTGAACTGCTGATCTTGAGGTTAGCAGCCCAATGTTAATGCAACAAGATTGTTAGGCTTGAATGTAGTAGGAGGAGATTTACTCTATAGTAGTTTGGAGAGTAATGATTAATGCATACCAAACTAAACAATAGAAAAAGAAAAAGCATTTATATTTCCAAGGAAAACAAAAAGTGGTGTCAAAAAGAAAATGTAATCATAATATATAGTTGAGCTCTGAATAACATTTATGTCATTATAGTAAAGTCAATATTGAATAATGACATAACCAAAAACGATGTTCTTATTAATGATGTCTGAGAACGCTGAGAGAAATTCCAGTGTGAGTGCAGAATTGTGTAGGGATAGGAAGAGCTAATTGTTTTTAAAAGATGAAGTCAATTATTTGGGCAAAACACTAAATACTAAACTAAACAAAATAGTTATTGCTTAGTGACAAAATGTCAAGTGTCAGAAGAAATAGGTAAATTCTTTTAAGATCATTGCTTCTAGGGCTTGAGACATCTTGAAGAAGGGAAGAAGAGGACAGTTATCTTTTTGGTAATAGTGCTCTTTGTAGAAATCTCCAGCTTCTAAGTGATTTCTCTATAAGCTTCAACCCCTGACTTGTCAATCTGTCCTATTGTGGTGGCTGCATGTCACTGTGATGCTAGAAGGCATCCCCTGGTATTTCAGATATTAGCATGGACATTCATGGTGGGCCGTTTCACTGGAGGAGCTGCCAGACTAGGGTAAACTACAAAGAAGGAAGGGGTATCCCACTTCTAAAATTGTAATCACCAAAACCTTTATGAAAGGCAGCATATAGTGTCAGAAGATAAGCCCCTAAGAC